AATTGTAAGAAACATTCCAGGTGGTTTTAGTCAAGGACATTAAGGCTTTTAGAAAGCAGCTTAGGAGACAGTCAAGGGCAGTGAGAGCTTGGGAACAGAGGTAGGAGTTTGACTAGAAGTTTTGAGAAATTGTTAGCATAAGAGAATTACTGCTTTGTTCTTACCTATGAAACTTTAGGGTACTTTTATGTTCTTGTTTTTATTGTTTGATCAATTATATGTATGACCAGTTATAGTAAAAATTATGTTTTTGATTTTAAGCTGTAACTAATGAATCTATAGAAAGTAAAAGATGTTGGTAATGTTAGAAATTAAGATGTAGAACTTTGTTTAAAATTAACCTGACATTTTAGGGAGGATTAGAGAGAAACAGAGTCGCTCACAGAAGGCAGACGTTATCACAGTAACTAAGAAGTAACTAAGGAGTATAGAGACACAGGGATGTTTGGTGACCTTGTGTTCCTCTTGTACCGTTGATGTAAAAATATAATATTTGATTGATTTTTAACTGCTTGTATGTGACTGGTATGAGATCATAGTATGTTCTAAATGGGATATAAGAAGCAACAATTTTGAAATAAACAGTCAAGGCAGCAGTCAGAGAGAGAGTCATCAGAAGAGAGCCATTACCACCATCTGCCTGAGACTCAAAATGACCCATTGACTCTTTGAGGGTTTTTTTGTTGTTTTTTTTCATTCGCCGACTCCACCTCCTCCTATCAAGACCCTCCTAATAATTTGCTGAGGCTGGTCCCCGGCAGGGGTGGGTGATGGGAGGGAGGGGAAGATGGAGCACAGGGCGTGGATTAAACACAGGAAAGTTTGGGTGCTGGGGAGGGGGACAATATACAAGAAGGGAAAGGGGAATGGAAGAACAAAGCAGATGGGAGAACAATTAGGCAGGTTTGAATGGGCTAAGTGGAACAGAGGTAAATAATGATGTATGCACAACCTTGGAACAACAGGACTCTGGGATACAGAGATTGAAACATGGTTGGAATGGTGAAAAGGGAGGGATAAGGTTAAAATGATTGGCTGTCTTTTGAATCTTGGTTTTCCTTGCATTATATTATAAAATAGACACAGGAGGGGAAGAGAAAGGAATAGCCAGAAACATCACCATAGAAGTCTTGTAAGTCCGTCTTCTGCCTATAACTGATTGGAATACCTAAAATGGGGCTACAATGTGCCCAGTGAAAGAGGCTTCCTGTGGAGCCTCTGCAATACATAAGACTATAGGTAGAAGCCTGAACCACATCCAGATCTCCAGAGATGGGAA